CCCCCAGCCCCTGAAACAGGGGAGCCCTCAGCACCACTCCTCCATCCCCTCCTGCTTCTGTCTGGTCTTCCTAAAGGGGAGGCAGGGAGTGGGGGAAACAGAGTCCAGGGGCCCAGGAGATGCTCCAGAAAGCAGCAGGGGCGGAGGGAGCAGAGGTGGCCTGGTGCCACCTGTCCTGGTGACGAGCATCTCTGGATCAGGGACGTGATCTCTGTCGAGGCATAAAGGAGTCACTGCTAGACCAGCAGTGCCACGGACCCAGCCCTGCCAGGCGTGCCTGGCCTCTTGCCTCCCAAGACCACATGGGTCTCCTGATCCCACGTCACCGCACCTGTGATCCTGCTCTGCAGCCGACACCTCCTCTCACCTGCCCTGACTGGACGCCCCTGCACTCTCTGTGGAAGCTGGGGCCTGGCCCAGGGACAGTCCTGGGGGTGGCCTTGGCCCCAGGACTGGACCCAGGCTCTGCCTGGGCCACAGTGGGCAGTGGGGTGCTCCTCCTTGCCCCACGGCTCCCCGGGTGGGCCTGGTCTCTTTCCTCCTTGACTCCCCCCTTCTTTCTCACTGACCCACAGTCAGTCACCAAGGTTAGGATGGTGGCTCTGAGGTCACCAAAGTTAGGATGGTGGCTTTGAGGTCAGTTGCCAAGGTTAGAATGGCACCTCCAAGGTCACCAAAGTTAGAGCACCTTTAAAGTCACCAAGGTTAGGATGGTGGCTCCAAGATCAGTCACCAAGGTTAGAGTTGAGGCTCTGAGATCACCAAAGTTAGGATGGCAACTTGAAGGTCATCAAGATTAGAATGGCAACTCTGAGGTCACCAAGGTTAGAATGGCAGCTCTGAGGTCAGTTGCCAAGGTTAGAGTGGCGGCTCTGAGGTCACCAAGGTTAGAATTGTGGCTCTGGAAAATAAATAAATAAATAAATAAATAAATGGCAGCTCCGAGGTCACCAAGGTTAGAATGGCACCTCTGAGGTCAATTGTCAGGGTTAGAATGGCAGCTCCAAGGTCACCAAGGCTAGAATAACACCTCCCAGTTCAGTTGCCAAGGTTAGAATGGTGGCTCTGAGGTCGCCAAGGTTAGAATGGTGATTCTGAGGTCACCAAGGTTAGAATGGCAGTTCCAAGGTCAGTTGCCAAGGTTAGGATGGTGACTCCAAGGTCACTGAGGTTAGAATGGTGGCTCCGAGGACACCAAGGTTAGGATGGTGGCTCCAAGGTTACCAAGGTTAGAATGGTGGCATCAAGGTCAGTCACCACGGTTAGCATGGTGGCTCCAAGGTCACCAAGGTTAGGATGGCAGCTCTGGGGTCATCAAGGTTAGAATGGCAGCCCTGAGGTTGCTGAGGTCAGGATGATGACTCTGCGGTTGCCAAGGTTAGAATGGCACCCTTTTACACCAGGACTAGACTTGGTAAAAGGACAAAGCTCTCTGGGGGGTTGGGCAGTAATGCACAGGGAGAGCAGACACCTTGGAGCCAGCACCAGGTCATTCATCCCTTCTGACAGCCCACATGGGGGCTGGGGAGCTGCCAGCCTGCACACCCAGTATCCTGGGGGTTCTGCCCTGGCCTTCAACCCAAGTGTACAGAGATCCGGAAGCCTCTGGCCCCACCCCTCCCAGATCCCCATCTATCCAGCTTGAGCTCCAGCACAGGCCCTAGGCTCAGACGGGCATCTTCACCTTCCTCCATGGGGCCACACTGCCCTGCCTGCCTGGTCCCGGCCTGACCACCCCCCAGCCGGCCTTGGGAAGCAGGTCCCCCGCCCTCCTCTGCCCTCTGCCCTCCGGGGGCCCCTCTCAGTGAGGAGAACCAGACAGAAGCAGGGGGGACACAGGGCTGAGTGGTGAAGGGCTCTCCTGCCAGTGTCCCACATGCGGGGGAGGTTCCACCTCTCACTGAGACCCAGAACCCTGAGGACCTCCGGTCAGAAACACTCCCCTGTGGGCTTCCCTGGAGGCTGTGAGGCCCCGGGCTGCATCCAGTGGGGGTCTCATCTCCAGGAGACTGTGAGGTGAGTGGGCAGGGGGTTGGAGCGAGAGCCCAGGACCATGACAAGCCTGGGAGTGACAGCGCCAAGAGCTTTGGCTTGTGGGCCCATCCCCCATCCCACCTTCTCCTTCCTGCCCTGGCTGGGTCCTGGGCCAGGTCCAGCTCCATCCCTGCCCTCAACGCGCTCAGTCTGCACCCAGAGAAGGGAAAACAGGCTGCCAAGAGGGCCTTAGTGGACAGGGTGAATGTGGGCAGGCAGCATTTCAGGAGAAGGGACATGCTCCTTCCTGCCCCCAGGGTTCCAAGTCTCACCCTTCCTATGACCTCATGGCGGGGCAGCTCAGCCTCAGGCCACCAAGGTGACTGAGGAATGATGTGCCAACACAGGCCGGAGAGGGCCCGGCCTCCTGTCTCCAGCAGAGGGATCTTCCAGGAGAACCCTGTGGGGATTGCCTAGCCCCCACTTTCTTGACTCCAAACCACAGGGGAACTCAGATGCCAACTTCCCAGGCAGCTCTGACCTGGCTCATGAGTGGGTGCGCTGCAGGGCCCCACCAACCCCACAGACATGACACGAACCATGTACATACATGTGGGTGCATGTGGTTCTGGGGCAGGTGAGGGCTTTGCCCTGGAACATCAGGGCTAGATGGGTCTCTGGGACACAGTGAGGTCACCCTGCATTGACAGATAAGGAAACTGAGGCCCAGGAGACTCGCTTGCATGGAGGAATTGGGCCACACACAGGTGTGTTGGGGGCCCTCTGCACCTGTGTCCCAGGGGAGCTGGTCACAGGGCAGGCACTGCCACCAGCTCTGCACCCCAGAGTCTGGAGGACAGTGTGTGTGTGTGTGTGTGTGTGTGTGTGTGTGTGTGTGTGTGTGTGTACATGTGGAGCTGATTTCCAGAGCCAGTGGGGTGCTGAGTCCCAAGCAGTGCTTTGCTACTTACCTGCTGGGTGACCTTGGGCCTCTCTGTTCCAGTTTCTCCATCTGCAAAATGGGCAGAATAACACCACCATCTACCTGTGGCAACGTGGCAGGATCAAGTGAGCCCTAAGCATGGTACCTGATGTGGATGACCTGCTCATTTTTCCCACCTCCTCTGATGGGATTTGGGGATGACAGGCTTGCTGGGTGCAACTTCTTAAAGTATATGCTTTAAATCTGGGTGGTTCACGCTCTGGGTGGTCAGGTTCATCTGGGGCACACCCCTTCCTGAAGAAGTCCACCACGTGCTCCCTGCAGAACTCTCCTGTAGCACTGGCCTTCACAGCCTGGCCCCTCCAAGTTTGTGACTTCCTCGTGCAGAGGAATGGCCGGTACTGGGTAGGATGAGCACTCTGCCTGCAGCCTGCAGGCAGTGGGAGCCTGTGCCCTCAACAGTGTCACGGACAACGTGATGATCTGACTCTGCATGGGAAGCCACGTGAGGCTCATTTCAGGGGTCCCTGTCGTGGGCACTGGACTGGCATAAGCTGGGAACTGCAGCTCCACCATCTTAGCTACTGGCCAGTGTTTCTTGTGTACCTGTTGGGTGAGGCTCTTTGTACTGTGGAAGTGGTGTGAAAAAACAGACCAGAATCCTTGCCCTCACAGAGGTTCCATTTTAATGAAGCAGGGGGAAGGGAGGATCAAGAAAATAAAAGAAATAAACAGAGTAAGTGGTTTGTTACAGTTACAAATACAGTCCAGGGAGTGTTGCAGACCAGGGGCACCAGAGTCCTAGTCTCTGTGGGAGGCCTGGGTGATGTGAACTGTGGCCAGGAGCCAGGAGGGTCTTGCTGCAATGTCATGGAGCTCAGATCTGCAGGGTGGAGACATGGACACATGTGGCCGACACCAGTGGCAGCATGCCAGCTGCTGGTAAAACAATTCAGTCCCAGCTCACTTAGCAGCCATGGCAGGCAGATCCACATGGTGACACAGGGATCCAAGTACCTTTGCTGGGGTTCTTCTCCCCTGCATACCGCAGCCATTTCTTTCCATCCACAGGACAGAGGAGGTTGGTGGAGAGGACTCACCTGTACCTTGGGCTGCCTGGACACCTGCTCTCACTCCATAAGGAAGGGCTGGTCACGCGGCCCCTGCTGATGCAAGTGGGGCTGGGAAATGCAACTCTAGGGGAGCAGCAGTGCCCAGCAATGTTCTACTCCACAGAAGCAGTGTGGCCTTTGGTGTGGCTGGGTGTCTCTGTGTGGCCCTGGTGGGGAGGGTGCCAGCTGGAGTAAGGTGGTGTTGGGGCAGCAGGAGTGAGGTCAGAGATGGCAAGGGCACTGGTGGTGTCATGTAGGCCATGGCTGGGTCTCAAGCCCATCCTGAGGGACTCAGGCACTGGAGCTTCCAAGCGGGGAGGATAGGACCTGCCTTCTGTGTCCACGGGCTTTTGTGACCTGCCACGTGACTCAAGGTGGGTGGGTACAGGACCTGTGGGAGCCTGTGGCTCGGGCCAGGGTTCAAGGCAGTGAAGCCAACAGCCTTCAGAGGTACAGACAGCGGGACTTCCCAGCGGGATGGATGCGGGGTCACCACATTGTAGTCAGGCTGAGTCCAGCATTCTGTCCTGGGTGCAGGAGGCCTGAGTGCTGCTTACCGAGCTGAAGGTGGTGGGTGGGCCTGGGATGTGTGTGGGGTTAGGAGTTTGCTTCTGGATGTTTCAGGTTGCTGCCAGGCCCCTCGCTTCCTCGCCCGTGGGATGGGGCAGCTGCATTGACCTGCGGCAGCTGAGGGGCCCGACAGCTCAGCTGTGAAGGCTGTGGGGAGTGGGCTGGAGGCTGTGGGGGTGGGAGGGACAGCCTGTGTGGAGGAGGTGCCTCGAGGGGCGACACACTGCAGCCCAGCGGGGCCTGCTCTGGCCATGGGGCCTGGATAGCCTGGGTATGTACGTCTCTCCTTCCACAGCAGGCCTGGTCACGGTCCTGCGGCACCACAGCCACCACACCCCTGCGGGAGTGGAGACACGCCTGCCCACCCCAAGACAACAGACTCAAAGACCACAGGGGCCATCGCGAAGCAGTAACACTTTTATTCCCATCAGTGACACTGAAGGGCTTGACCTTTCTTTACAGAAGGGGGTGGGGGTTGCGGGTCCTGGGCCTGTGTTCTCGCCACCCACTGCCGACCCAGAGTCAGTGGCTCCAGCTGGAGGGGCTGGGGGTCCCTGGCAGGTGGCCACGCTGAGGGCTCCAGGCAAGGCCGTCAGCAGGCGCAGTGGGGCAGGGAGGCCGGTAGGTGCGGCTCTTCTAGCGCGGGTGGCACAGGAGGTCGTGGCAGCTGCTCCCCATGGTGACTGGTCTAGGCTTCAGCCCTGGCCTCACGGGGGCCCCTGAGGGCCCCGTCTCTCCTCCAATGCCCGGCACACCCACATGGACACCACAGCAGCGTTCCCATCGTTGAACTGCACGATGAACGGGTGGCCCTGTGGGGAGCAGGAGTGGCTGTGATTGCACCCCAGACCCTGCCCTCCACGCCACCTCCCGAGGGTGTGCCCAACCTGGTGGGACTTCTTTCCCCAGTGACCCTGTAGGTAGGAAGGCAGCTCTCTTGGCCAACATTCTGCCTTCCCTTCCTTGCAGCTGGAGGCGGAGTTGCTGCCCAGAGACCCAGGAATCATCTCATCAGGGGCCGTGTCAGGCCTTCTCAGCCTCTCCTCTGCCTGCAGTTCTGTACGCAGATCACCCCCTGCAGTGGGGGAGGCATGACTCAGGGGAAGGGGTCAGCGGGGAAGTGTGGATCCCCTGGCCCCTGGCAAGTGGTCAGGTGGCCAGTGGTCAGGAAGCAAGCGATCAGGCAGCCAGGTGTCAGTTGGTGAGCGGTCAGGTGGCCAGTGGTCAGGAGGTGAGTGGTCAGGTGGTACTAGATGCTGAAGGGACCGCCCGGCTCCTGGGGTCTCCATTAGCCCTTCCTCACTGGGCCTGCAGGCAGGCCAGGTTACATTTAGCCAGTTCCCTCCTCTGCTGTTCTGAAGCACCAAGATTCACACCCACAACCTCAGGGCCTCCAGGGGCTCCCAGGGGAGATCAGAGTCAAGCAGGGATAGCCACAGAGTTGGTGGCCACAGGCCAAAGGTGAAGGGAATGCTGAGAAGCACCCTCCTTCCTCCCAGGTGGTTTCCGGGCTGGGAGC